TCGAAAGATTGAGAAAGTAACACGCCGGAGACATTTTTGAATACAAAGTGTGGATATTATTATTAAATTATGCATTGAATTATGAGTAACACCATGAAGGTTACTTATGAATTATGCTATTATTTATTATGTGTCAGTGAATTGATTCTTGCAGTCTGTGTCACGTTAATATTTTTGTTTAAATTTAAATAGTTTTAGTTTGTGGTTATGTTGACATTGTGATGTCATTACTTATTGGTGTAAATCATCAGTATGTGTACCACTTGTCGGTATGTGGACAATTATATGTGAGGCAATGCGAAATTGTTAAATTACAAAATTGCATTATGTGTTTTCGCGAATTTCATCATACGAGCAATCGGCGAACGCACGCGGAGGAAAATTGCCCGAGCGGCGTCAATTTGCATTCCATGCAAATCAGTCCGCCGCAGTTCTGCTTCCCGGGAGAGTTTCGCAATGCGCACTTTTCGGTAATACGGCGGCATCACGACTTGCACGGCCGCTTTGCCTTGTGGCTTCCAAATTGCGGCGTTAAGACAACAATTATTTGTGAACGCATGTGTGCGAATGGCTAAATCGTGCGATTTGCAATACAAAATTAATGCGAGGACTTGTTTCTCTTGCTGTTAATATGCGATATTTTGAAAATGCATGTGTGTTTGATTCGCGCCAAACCATTGATAAATTTTGATAAATTTTTATATAAAGATAGATTAAATATTGAATAGGCTACTTTTTATTTAAAATTTTTTCTTAACAATAAAAATTTCATCTCTCAGATTTCCGTTTTAACTATCCTATCTGATAGAGAATAGTTCGTAGATTAAGACGCTGCGATCAGATCTTATTTATCTCTTTTAGTTTACGAGATATTCGCGATTGAATAAAATCGGCAAAAATTGATAAATGTCACTTTTTAGCACTTTTAGTCGCGTTTTTCGACCTTTTACTGTAGGAAATATAACTATTTTATAATTATAGCTGATAGAGAATTTTCTAATCTTTCATAATCAACAATTCGTTGGTAGTTACCTCTTTTAGTTTAAGAAATATTAATTTTTGAAAATCGTCGAAAAAAAGTATCAAGCACCCCCCCTTGGCAATTTTTTCTTAAGAATGAAAATTTCATCTCTCAGATTTACGTTTTAACTATCCTATCTGATAGAGAATAGTCCGTAGATTAAGACGCTGCGATCAGATCTTATTTATCTCTTTTAGTTTACAAGATATTAATTATCAAAAATCGTCGATAGTAATTATCAAGAAATTATCTGAAATCACGTGTAATTTTTTTTATAAATATATGTTTATATACACACATAATTAAATTTCTAGTAATCCAATTACATGATAACATTAAACCGTTTAAAATATTTGTTTTTATTTATCAAACAAAGTGCTATAGTAAGAAATTGCAACATAAATCGGTATACTTAATAACTCTTAGCTATCGGCGATCATTTATCAAGAAGCAATTACTTTATTATTTCTGAAAATAATAAATCTCATTCCCAATTAGATTTTCCAGCATTTTAACTGTCAGAAACACGCGTAATTCTTTCCTAATGAACACATCCGATATTTCCGTGAACTCATGAAGACGTAAATACATAAATATGCATTTGCATTGATAAGAAAACTCGCAAAGCAGGAAAAGTTGTCTACATAAATACAACGTCAATTATATCCACCTTTATGTGGAACGTGAGAGTTGAAAATACTCGAAGTAAGTAAAATCTTAACTCCAACTAATATCTAAATTAAGTTTCGTTACACTAAGTTATGAAAGTGCTCAAAAGAGCGTTAAAAATGAAGTTATTACGTTTAAAATGGTAAAGTTAATTTAGACGTTCAGTTCTTGCTTAATTTTTGATATAATTACTATGAGTATTTATTTTTCTACAGCGAATTATGCACGCTTTTCGATGTTTCTTTCTAATGTCAGACATTATGAAGCATTTGAATTTGAATTTAATTCAAAAGTTTCAAGCGTTCAACGCCAGTGGCAACACGAGAGACGAAAATGTGATGACTAAATTTTGTAACACGCATGATTTCATCCCAGCGTAGAAATTACCTGCGCTATTAGGCCATGAACAAATTAGATCACAATTAGGCGTGTTGAACGTACGATGCGTCATGCATTGAATTCAGTTTGCATTCAAACGATCAAATTCATGCATAAATTAGACTTAAAGTAAAATAAAATTCTTTTAATGTTGATGTCGGGTTGTGGAGACCTCCAACATTGATTTTCATATACATTTATTACTAATACACAAGTACACGACGGGGAAATTAACGAATATCTCGCAGTTAAGTTTATAAACTCATGTTAAATGCTGAAAATGTTTGAATTCGCATAGCTTGTAATTTCTTGACGCTGGTGCGTAAATATACCTACAGTTTGTTCATTAGGTAATAATTATATGTAGTTAGAGTTAAAATTAAACATAGTAAGATAATTTTCTTGCTGCGTAAGGTAATGTAATAATATTTCTAGCAGTAATAAAATTAGAAATTAAAAATAGCAGTGCAGAGTGTATTATCTCATTTATTTTTTACAAACTGTGTGAATTCTTGAGAGTGCAGCATGCACTTGCGTCTGCTTGTAATTGCGTGCATTTTCACGTTTAATTACACACGCTGGATGTTAAAATACCGCAGGCTGTAATTAAGTGCATACAAATATAAGTCTTATTTAATTCGTGAACTATTTTTTATTAATTTGCATTTATTTTAATTAAATTTAGACATGAAAACATGAAATTAAATATAAATATAAATATTAGACGTTTGAGTTTGTATTGCATACAAGTATTTGCTTGTAGCTCGTGCATTCTGAGTGATAGTACATAAAAAAACAATAACATTGCTGGTGAAGTAAACAATATCGCGTGATTTCACACCGGCACGAGGTGTGTTCACTGACACACACAAAGATTTAATAAAAATAACTGCATTCTAGTGTCATCTTGTGTCTTATTGTAGAGTTATGTTTAAATAACGTGAATGCTGTCTGCGAGTTCACACCTACACGACTTTCTTAAGTAAACGCATTGCACATTCATCGACACATAAGCAACCGCACTCATTCACACGAAGCAAAATTTATGCCAATAAGTGCATCCTTGCGCCATCTCGCTTCAAAATAAGTAACTATGGATTCTTGATGTAAACTTTCACATTTGTTATTCTTTTTTTTACTCTGCTCAAGGTAATATCATAAAAAATACATACTTATCAGTTAAAAACGTATCGTTTCATAAATTTACATCAATAGATCTACAATATTTACTCATCTTTACATTATTACAATTTCATTTCTCTATTTTTCTTTCAAAAGAAATTTATATTCAACTCGTGAGACCTGCCCGTTCATTCTTCGTTTAGTATGAACTTTATGTTTAAATTATGATATAAAATAAAATTAATCCAATAAATCTGTTAATCTTTAGTTGTTATAAAATAAATCAAAGTGGAGTACGGATTAATGCAATTTCTTCAAACGCAATCGGAGTTAAATCGTGTTGCTTGTCACAATAAGAATATTTATATAGTGATAGTGCAATTTGCAGGTGTATGACGCTGTGGCAGAACTTGGGAGGCAATCGTGCGAAAAATATAAAATACTGCACCACGATGCAGGAGTTTCAGACGACACGACTCGTGATTTATGCGTGTGTTCTATTATCTTGTTGGATGAACCGTTTAATTGTGTACTAATACTTGAATGTCCATAAAATTGCTTACAAATGAGATATTTTACATTTATTCATTCATGTTTTATGAGATGCGGATAAATTCGTCGTGGTTGAATATTTATTTATTTTTAAACGTTGGAAATAAGAGGAAAATGAGGAGGAATTGCACCGAGAAGCCATTATTTTATTAATACGACACATTGCTGCGATCGTTTCCGAATTAAACTCGCTAGCGATGCGCCGCTCACAACACTAGGAAATAAACAAGATTGATATGCGCTTAATCGCTTTCCAACGGTCAACAAACCCATCTATTGCAATCTTCAAATCGGCAAACAGGAACGACTAACTAATTTAATTAATTTTCTTGCTTTTTATTCAAAACTACATTTAATAAACAAGCTAAATGATTTAAATTAGTTTGAATACTAAACGTTTTTTAGTTTTAAAATGTTTTGCACGTGGAAATCAATGCAGTTGCTTGTATTTTGTTGAAATTATTTTAAGACAGCTCTGAATTGGATCAAGCAATCTGGCTGAAAGTGTTAGCCCGTGGTGTTAGCCAAGTTATGCCAAAAATCGAAGACGGCGAATAATGTGGACTTGGCGACGATTTTTCCGCTTTCTACGTCGATATCTATGGCGACTTGTTTTTTGCACTAGAATTAAAGGCATTCTAGACTCGATACACGGTAGTTATTTTCGACTATAGACGGGCGAACAATTTTAATTACACTTCTTGTTTATGTCCTATTTATGTGTTGTCTACTTGAGTTCATTTACACTGAACTAATTTGAAAGAAAACAAAACCGAACGCAATGCAAATAACTAAATTCAGTGTAAAATTGTTAAACATTAAAGAAATATTAAATTATAAAATGAGACATGCTGCGCCATCTTCACACTGACTATAGAAGCTGAATGATAGCAGTTGGTTTCTCACTTTAAGTAAAATTAATAAATATGGTGTAAATAGTTTATAATCATTAAATAACACTTTGGAAGGTAAAATTACAATACAATATTAAATAATACTTGTATTACAAGAATATTTTCTAGAACAATTTTATAGCGCCCCCTAAAAATAACCTAAAGAAACATTTGTAGGTTTTCTCTGAAAGAGCGCGCGGTATTTTTAACGGTCGCGTCAAATACGCCGCAAAAAATAGAACAATGAATACAGCGTAATTTACGTAAGAATTGAAGTGATACCTTGATAATTATATTAAAACTATTATATTAAACTAGTTCCTCTAATTTGTTTGGATAATTTGTGCTCATTTCAAAGAAATTGAAATACGAATTTCCATTAACGATTATCTGAGCAACAAACTGTCAAACGGTGGCCGTGCCGGCGTAGGAATCCAAGGGAAATTGCCATTCTGCCCGATAGTTTCAATCCTCTTACATGTGGTGTACCGTGTTCGCCGGTTTCTTCGCGCAACGTTAGGAAATTAATATACATTCACGAGCAGTTCTCGCGTGCAAGAGGTGTTCGCAAAGAAATCATGGATCAGGAAACAATACAGCTCATTCAGATCTTGGAAAAGACAGTTTCTCCAGGTGAGTGAATCATAGAATCACATTCGACTGCATGCACTCATAGCCCGCCTATTTGTTGGATGCCATTACAGCCATATTACCATTTCATTATCAACACGTTAACTATTGCACCATGTTTGGAGAAAAATGCTTATTCCATGACTAATTGATTTCATCTAAACATCCCGAATGTTTCCATTTTGTCCCATGATTTTACATGAAGGTCACACTCGTATAAAGTGGACGTTTTTCTATTGCAATTGTTTATATTTTAGACAAAAATGAATTGGAACAGGCGTCGAAGTTTCTGGAGGCGGCCGCCGTCACCAACCTGCCCGGATTTATCAAAACACTCTCCGAAATCCTCCGGCATGGGGGCAACAGCCCGGTGGCTCGCATGGCTGCTGGCTTACAACTGAAAAATCAGTTAACTTCTAAGGATGCAAATATAAAGCACAGCTATCAGAACCGGTGGCTGTCATTTCCCGAGGAAATCAGAGACTACATTAAGAAAAATGTAAGATAAGATATTTAACACATCCAAATATTTAATCATCTTTTATTTAAAAATATTTATTTGTATTAGATTGTTGGAGCGTTGGGTACAGAAACAAGCCGACCATCATCAGCTGCGCAATGTGTTGCGTACGTCGCCGTCACCGAATTGCCACAAGGGCAATGGCCAGTGCTTATCAACCAACTGGTAAACAACGTCGTACATGCAAACTCCACCGAAATGCAAAAGGAAGCAACACTCGAAGCGATAGGTTATATCTGCCAGGAGATAGACTCCGAGGTGTTGGTATCACAGTCGAACGCCATCTTGACGGCGATCATTCATGGCATGCGCAGCACGGAACCCAGCAGTCACGTGCGACTTGCCGCTACACAAGCTCTCCTCAACTCATTAGAATTCACGCGAGCGAACTTCGATAAAGAGTCAGAACGGAACTTCATCATGGAGGTGGTCTGCGAAGCGACGCAATCACCTGATTCTCAGATTAAGGTGGCCGCTTTGCAGTGCCTTGTGAAGATCCTCTCACTCTACTATCAATATATGGAGCCGTACATGGCGCAGGCGCTCTTCCCCATCACCCTGGAAGCGATGAAGTCTGAAAACGATGCCATTTCGCTCCAGGGTATTGAGTTCTGGTCGAACGTGAGCGATGAGGAGGTGGATCTTGCCATCGAAGACACCGAAGCGGAGGTTGCTGGTCGGCCGCCAGCTCGGGTGTCACGGCATTACGCGAAAGGCGCGCTTCATTATATTGTTCCTGTTCTGTTGCAAAAGTTAACAAAACAGGAAGAACTCGATGATGATGACGACTGGAATCCGAGCAAAGCCGCTGGTGTATGTCTCATGTTGTTAGCCACCTGCTGTGAGGACGAAATCGTTCCACATGTTCTGCCATTTATTGAGGAGAACATCAAATCCGATAACTGGCGGTTCCGTGACGCTTCTCTGATGGTATTCGGTGCAATTTTGGGCGGCTTAGACGCCAATACGCTGAAACCACTTGTAGAAACAGCAATGCCTACATTAATTCAACTTATGTATGATAACAGCGTCATTGTACGTGACACCGCCGCGTGGACATTCGGGAGAATTTGCGAAATCATCCCGGAGGTTGCTATTAACGATCACTTCCTCAAACCGTTGCTGGAGAGTCTTATTAGGGGTTTGAAGTCGGAACCGCGGGTCGCCGCGAATGTTTGCTGGGCTTTCACAGGTTTAGCCGAAGCTGCCTATGAGAACGCCGACGTTAATGAAGAAACCAACCAACCTGACACCTACGTACTCTCGCAGTACTTTGAGTTCATCGTTCAAAACCTGCTGGAGACTACAGACAGAGCCGACGGGGCACATGCTAATCTTAGACCTGCCGCTTATGAAGCTCTCATGGAGATGGTGAAGAACTCGCCGAAAGACTGTTACATCACCGTACAACGTACAACCATGGTTATTCTCGAGAGATTGCAGCAGGTGTTGCAGATGGAGACGCACATTTCGAGCCACAAAGATCGCTCGCAGTATAATGATCTGCAATCGTTGCTTTGTGGTACTCTACAGTCGGTTCTGCGTAAAGTAACACCCGAAGACGCACCGCAGATCTCCGACGCCATTATGACTGCCATGTTGACTATGTTCAATTCGAACAAGAGTGGTGGTGTACAGGAAGACGCCCTGATGGCGGTTTCTACGCTTGTTGAAGTGTTGGGTGAAGGTTTCCTTAAGTACATGGATGCTTTCAAGCCATTCTTGTACATTGGTCTTAAGAATCATCAGGAATATCAGGTTTGTGGCACGGCTGTCGGTCTAACCGGCGATATTTTCCGAGCGCTGAAAATGAAGGCGCTGCCATACTGCGATGAAATCATGCATCTGCTTTTGGAGAATCTCAGCGATAATTCAGTGCATCGCAGTGTGAAACCACAGATCTTGTCCGTTTTCGGCGATATTGTCCTAAGTATTGGTCCGGAATTCAAGAAATACTTGGATGTTGTTTTGTCTACGCTTGCGCAAGCGTCTCAAGCGCAGGTTGATCGCAACGACTTCGAAATGGTCGAGTATTTGAACGAGTTGCGTGAAGGAGTCTTGGATGCATACACTGGTATCGTTCAAGGGTTGAAGGGTGATGGAGCTACGGCTCATCCGGATCTCCTGATCGTTGAACCGCACATTCCTTTCATTGTGCAGTTTATTATCGTGGTAGCGCGTGATCCGGAGCATTCGGAAGGCACGATTGCGGTGGCGGCGGGTTTGGTCGGCGATTTATGCTCGGCGTTCGGCACGCGAATGCTGCAGCTGCTCGACTTGGATTCAATCAACGAAATGCTGGTGGCAGGCAGGAAGAGTCGTGTGTCTCGCACGAAGACTCTGGCGACATGGGCCACGAAAGAACTCCGGAAGTTGAAGAATAATGTTACTACCGCGGCCGTTGCTAGCTGGTAAGCTTTTTGAAGGTTTAACCTTTGAACTTGAGTGTAATCTTAACTGTTTTGCTGTTAATTTTATTACAGATTGCCTGGGGCTAGCTGTGGCAACACCGACGAAACGAGAATGAAGGTTTGGTCAACGGCATCATTTTTGGAATCACATTTTTCATAATTTTACGTAACACAACATACATACACAAATAGAACTCTGGATCGGTCGTTCAGTTTTGCTTCGCGCAACTCTCAGCATAATGTTTTTCTTTTATCAATTTAGCAACAAATAGCATAATTTTATTCGTCACGAATCGCTACAAGTCTACAAAACAAATACTCGCGGGGTGAGCGTGTGAATTTTCATCATGATAGATAAGTCAAAAAGTTAATAATTTAAAAAAAACAACAACAAATCGAACGACATCATATTATCAAAGTAAAATCAAATCAAATTGGGGGTAAAAGTAACTGAGGATGATAACTCTTTAAGTTTGTGTGATTGTTTTAGTTGCGTCGACATGGTAATTGTCTCCCCCTCGCTATCGTTTAACGTATAATGCGCGTGGGGTGCCGAATGAGTGACAATTTTCTGAAACAACGTGTGAATTGTGATTGTTTTTTCATCGTTGCGGTGTAGGTACGTCTGTGGGACTATAAGCTGTGCAAAAGCTCAAGACTGAAGCGTGGTGTGACGTGTTGTTTTTCTCTCTCGTCACTAACATAATCTAGTAATAAATGAAGCTAGAGTTTAAGCGGTTTTCCTCTTGGATGGATCACACTTGGATATTTCGGTTCTTTTACTTAAGAAGTGTAGAAAGCAAAAAATGAAAAACCAAACAACAACTGTTACATATCGAATTTTGAAACAAAAATAACTACCACTTCTCTTGTTGAAAAACGCAAATTCGATGCGATCTTTTGAATTTTGGTTACGATTGCGTTTTATATAAATTACAAAATGAGCACACGCGTTACTTTGAATCAATTACTATTTACGCAAAAGCAGCAGCATGAATTCCAATATTTTTAATTCCAAGATGAGAATTAAGAATTCAAAAACTCAGGAAAATTTGAGAATAATAAAAAAAAATTGTGAGTGATATTTTTATGAATGTATTTTTGTGAGGCCGTCGTGTGCCTTGCATGATTGATGTGTGCTAATACCAGGCTACTCTGTAACTATATATCGTCCTCTTTGATGCATACTTTACGAATGAGAACAAAACGCTGCAAACGAAACAACACGACGAGGTGCATTCGCAAATCGGAACAAATGAACACACACAACCAATCATCACTCTCGCCTAACGAGGAGCGATGATCCAACACACTATTTTACGAATGTATTTTATCGATTACGAGAGTCTGGTTCCAGGGTACGTTAGTAATTAATTTAAAACAAACAAAAATGAAAAAATCTGTGATTTGAGAAGGCTTCAGTGCGTTGCCAAAAGTATTGTTGATCCTCGTGCACGAGCAAATTCCATTAGATAAGTAAACGAATAACATAAATAATAATATAGAATATGTTGAAGCCTTCTCAATCTTATTTTTGATAATTATAATTTTCGAATTATAATTATACAATTCCTGTATGTGTGATAATTGAATTCTTCGAGCATCGTGCACATAAAGCAAGGAAGCGGCCGCCTCTTTTTTGATTCTCAGCGTTCGAATTTTGATGGACGCGAATTGTTTTCCAGCTGGTCTGCGCGCCGCGCCGCTCCTGTTTATTTGTGATGCTCCGGAGAGTTCATACTTAGCCTGTATGATATTTTGTATAATGAACATTAGTGTGATAGGTGACTGTATGATTGTTAACTTGTATTTAAGTGCTTTTTTGTTTTCATCGCAATGTTATTTTATGCAGAAAAATCGCTTTGGTATACCGTGGCCTACAACTATTTTTCTATTGTTGATATTTATTTTTATTTTTGGAATAACCACTCAAACAATTGTACAACAATAGCGAACTGGGCAGTGTATGTACTGTGTACTCCACTAAGTTTAATTTAAAACTAAAAAAAAACAATGCGCTTTGCGTGAGGCACAATGGGAAAGAGTGTAAAATAACGCCGCGGGCTGGCGGCCATTTTGCGCCGTGTTCATGCGACTATCTGTAATAATAATCTGTTTGCAACTCTTGTTTTCTTTGTAAGGCGTCAGTCCGTGCGGCGAATGAACTAACGATAGCTGTATAAATCAAGTGCATGCGAAATTTAGGTGAATGTTGAATTACGTTTGTTTGTTATGATGAGTGCCATGAATTTGTTTGACTGTTGATGAGGAACATTAATTATTGTAAAGATGCAAGTTTAAACGACGAAAACAAAATGCGAAACAACGCCCCCATTTTCGAAGCGCACCGATTTTCGGCAATCGAAACGCGTCACATTTTTATTCTTAAATAGCTAGTTCGTAATACTACTACTTGTACATGTGTGTTTAAGACTGATTAATTGTGCTCAAATGATGCGTGCATGATGATGACACTTGTTGTATTTTATAAATGCAGTCATTCCAAAATTTCGCGAAACCGGTGAATTGATTGCCCAAAATCGGTCGACACGATTTCGACAAAACACAAATACGATACTATTATACTAATCACTTAATATGCGATCAATCATAATTTCATCATTCTTTACCGCTGGAAGGAAACAATGAAATGTCAAATCGAAAGTAATTGTAAATGTTACCATTCTCTATTAGGTGCCTATTGACCACATTTAAAATACTTAAGGCAAGAAAGCATGTAACAACTACAAGATGTATTAGTTTTAATTATCATTTCTGCACATTGCTTTCAAAATGATATCCAGTTCATTTCCTTAGCATTATTCGTTCAATGAATTTTACTTTTATTTACATTATTATTGGGATTCACGTCCTGTAGTTACGATTTAACAAATAAATAATTTAAATACGCAAACATGTCAAAAGATGCAAAAAAAAAGGCAATACAATAACAAAGATGCGGTCAACCAAGTTTTGATAATAACAATTAATGCTTATAAAGCAAATATATCTAGGTCTTTGCCTGACATATATTGGCGACAAATCCTATTAGCTGCCCTCTTGCTAGGGCTTCTTTAATTCGTTCATTAATCCATTTCGCAATCGTGCTCAGTGTTAAAAAATGGATCACAACAACGACAGTAAACATGAGGTGAGTGGCACAAGCCTTCACACACATGAAATCTTTTGTTCTTTCACAAAATAATCTTTTTATCTTCTAGGAACCTATGGACTTGGATGATCTGTTACCCCACGTTGGTGAATTCGGCCGGTATCAAAAATGCATGCTATGGTTGGTATGTTTACCGGCGTGTTTCCCTTGCGGCTTCGGAGCCTTCAATCAACTTTTCATGGCGAATGTTCCTCATGATTATTGGTGCCTTGTACCTCAACTTGCAAATCTTACAGCTGAGGAGCGCCTGGGACTTGCTATCCCAACAGATAACAATACTTACAGTAAATGTTCTCGGTATAAAATGAATTGGACTGAGTTTCTTGCAGATGATACAATTGAGATTTCCGGTGAAATTGAGCCGTGTTTAGACGGATGGGAATACAACAAAAGTGAAATTTATTCCAGTATAGTTATAGATGTAATTAAACTGGATAAAATTTATAGAAAAACATTAATTTGATACATTTTAGTTTGATTTAGTGTGTGATAAAGATATTTATCCAACACTGGGATTAGTTGCATTGAATGTCGGTGGACCAATTGGTGTTTACTTCTTCGGTGTACTCAACGATAAAATCGGCCGTAAAAAGACTTTCTTCTTTTGTTTAACAACGTTAATCCTCGGAGGTATACTGACATCGACGGCGCAGGATTTTTGGTGGTGGGCCGGAAGTAGAGTCGTTGTGGGCTTGACCATACCAGCAATTTATCAAATTCCATTCATTATCTGTAAGAATTCTTGTGTTTTTCTTTAATATTTATTTATAGACATGATTTTAGCACTGGAATTAGTTGGTCCCAACTACAGATCGTTTGTTACAGTCATGACTTGTTTATTTTACAGTCTTGGCATCATATTATTAGCTGGTGTGACTTATTTAGTGCGAGATTGGGTTGTTTTGTCATATGTTACAAACATACCTTTTATTTTATACTACATTTACTTGTGGTTCCTTCCAGAGAGTCCTCGTTGGTTACTTACTAAAGGTAAACATGTATTTTTAGTAAAAATATATAAAATCCGCCATTTTGTGATGTTTCTCAGGTAGATTCGAAGAAGCTGCACGAATATTAGAAACTTTAGCACGTGTCAACCAGAAAGAACTTCCTGTAAGCTTCAAACAACAACTAAAACAACGAATTATGTTGACACGTACAAAAAGTGAAGAGGAAAAGTATAAAAATGGTCCTGGTGTGTTATCTCTCTGTTACACACCTAATATGCGTCTTAAAACAATCTTAATCACATTGAATTGGTTTGCTACCGAGATGGTGTACGTTGGTTTAAGTTATTATGGTCCTGCATTGGGACAAGATCAGTATTTGAGCTTCACGTTGTCATGCGCTGTAGAAATCCCGAGTTATTTATTGTGCTGGGTGATTATGGACAAATGGGGACGCAGATGGCCGTTGTCTTTGTCGATGATTATTAGTGGCATCTGCTGTGTTGCGACCGTATTACTGCCTGAGGGTAAAAACATTCCAATCATATCAATCTCATCAAATGTGTTAATTTAATAACTTTTCTAGATGCAGTGACCGAAACGCTTATCTTGTATCTGGTGTCCAAGTTTTCAATCGCAGCGGCATTTTTAATCATTTATCCATTTTCTGGTGAGTTGTACCCAACGGAAATACGTGGAATTGGTATTGGAATATCTGCGTACATTGGTGGACTTGGATTGATCATTATACCATTCATAACATATTTGGTAAACACACAAATTGTAATAATTTGTTATATGACTGACAATGTTCAAATTATTCTTAGGGTTCTGATAATTTAATCCTTCCACTGGTAATCATGGGAATAATCAGTGTTCTCGGAGGATTATCCACGCTTCGACTACCGGAAACTCTTCACCATCGTTTACCACAAACCATCGAGGAAGGTGAAGAGTTCGGGAAAGATTTTTCATTTGAAGATTGTTGTAGATGCATTCCGAGACGTCCAAATTCCTCGCGGCCATTTGAAGAAGTGGAACTCAGTGATTATGAGCCGACAGAAGAAACACCCTTGGGACCCACACATCGCTTATCAATGCATCAACTAGTGCGACAAAACAGTATTATGGACACGCCTAAAGATGTGGATGGCACCATGAAGATTACCTATTGGTTTTAATTGTGCACTTTTAAAGATTAAATCACGCCAAAGTATTTTCTAGAGATTTAACGTATCAATGTATTTATTTTTGTAGTTGTTATCAATTTACCATAAGAAGATTATATTTTATTCACTGTGTCAAACAAATAATTCTATAATGCGTTAAATTTGATTTTTTGTGTGAATAATGCACAAAGTTCAACTTTTGTGTGGGTACTTGTGAATTTTACGCACTAGAGTGCAAAAATACTTAGTTTTAAAGACACAAAGTTTTACATTATGGATGAAATGCAACTGCGTGTAATTTTACAGTTACAAATTCAAAGGAAGCAAATGAAAATCAATAATTACATGTTTATTTTACTAACTACACTAGAGATAAGACATTTGAACTCTAGAAACGTTTGTTTAAAGCATTCAATACAAAAAAACAAACAAAAATTATTCAAAAAAGAATCCTGGTTGAAAGGTTTATTTAAATCATTAAACATGTTAATTGCGTGTGCCTACAAATAAGTTAACAAATTAATAGCTTATTCTCTTTTAACAAAACAAAACGTGTGCGTTGGATCGAATGAAATGTAAACACAAAACACATTCGCGAATTTGAGCACTATGCACACGCATCCCTGCGCGCTCGCGACGCTTGCATTCGTTCAGCGGCGCGGCGGCAACGCAGGCACGCACCAGCCGCAGACGTCCAGAACGATTTATTCAGTTGAATGTAGTTTTGGCTGGCTTGCAACCGCTGCTGCGCCCGCCTAGTTCCATAAAACAAGTTCTAGATTCACATTGAAAAACTAAAACTAAATGCACAGCGTGAACTTATCTCAGTGAATCACTACTACGACGGCGGCGGACTTTAGGTTAGTTCGGTGCAAGCTGAAATGTGTCGTCGGGGCAGTGGGTGCGTAATGAGTGTTGTCCTGTTACACCTCTAACAAATCGCCAATTAGATTATAACATCCATGCATTATTCCCCGTTTCGCCGGGGTTGTGTGATTGTCGATTATCTGTAGCATTCCGCATCGTGCTGAAAGGGCACGCTCAGCTGATGTCATTGGGCAGGTAATTATGCGCTTCTATGGGTTGGGTTTGGTTTTGTTTTTGCATTCTGCTGGCGCAACACTTTAATTGTTTACATTGCACGGCCATGGTTTATAAATGGTGTCGGATAAGAAAAATACTGTTGCGATACAGATAATTTTATGAACGCATTGCTTTAACACGCAAAAAAATAACATTGTGTCAATATATTTGCAGGGAAATAGAAAATGAATCAAGATGTAGAACTAAATGATCAGAAGGTGAAACCTGCTGCTCAAGAACCACCAAAAGTGGACCTTGACTTCATCTCAGCCATCAGTGACAGGCAGCTGGGATTCACAAAAAAGAACTACTTTTCATCCACACAGATATCATCAACAGCTGAAGATGAGCTGGTCAAGAAGCAATTTAAGGAGAAGGTACATAAACCACGGATTTTGCGGTAGCCGGCAGTTGTTTCATGTTTATTTTTAGCACTGTGAGTTGCCTGGAGTGCCAAGGTCTACATTCCTCATGGAATTCAGTCCTGATGGCACCAAAGTAGCCTCAACTCATGGTAACCATCAGATTTACGTTACTGATGTCCGAACTGGTAAACACATCAAAACACTGATTGGACATCCTAGGACACCTTGGTGCATTGTTTTTCATCCAACTTCCAATCAGATCATTGCTTCTGGTTGCCTAGGTGGTCAAGTCAGAATCTGGGACTTAAGTGTAAGCAAATAACAAATTTTTATGTTATAATCATAAATATTAAAAATATTAATAAAAATTTAGGGTGGAAGTGAAGTATGGACTTCCGAAACACCTTCGGTGATAGCTTCGATTGCTTTCCATCCCGATGATCGTTTATTAGTAATCGCAACGCTGAATGAACTGTTTTTCTGGGATTGGAGCAAACCGGAGCCGTTCATGCGCGTGTCCACCGCCAGCGTGAAAGAAAAAGTGCGTTACGTGGCTTTTGATAAATTGGGTCATAAATTAATCACGGGTATTACAAACTCGCCGCAAACACGATGGGAGAGAGTGAGCCATGTTCCCGTTTCGGTTTCGATGGCTGTCCCGCCTATGCCAATGCCCATGCCTGCTGCACCTATGCCGATGCCTATGCGTGGACCTTGCCCCAGAAGGCTTGCGAGAAGAATTGTTGCTCCGAGATTCAATTGGCCTGCATTTAACAATAACAATAATAATACCACTAATAACAATGTTAATAATACCGAACCTACGGTAAGTTATAATAGCTAAATTGTTTTTACAATTTTAATATTTTAATTTGTTTCTAAAGGTTTCGACAGCTTCAAACACAAATCCCGAACCATTGTCGAGTGTACCAGCACGCGAAAGAAGAATCACAAGCTGCTACCGGGAGCTGGTACATCAATATGAAGTACTGGTGCATCGTTACCTCCAAATTTACAGGCGACCCATTATGGTAATTTTAATCACGATTATTTTGTGTTATTTTTAAGTTTTGTGACTTTTGATAATAGATTGACCAAGGAACTGATCCCATGGAAGTTGAGAGCAATAATCAATCATCCAGCGCGCCGAATAACACTACAACTCGTCCGGATTCACCAATACCATCAACTAGTGGTATCCAGAGACCACGAAAGTCCAGCGCGGCGCATCCACCAAAAAATCGCCATCGGCGGTTATTATTTCACACTGACAGCGGCGGAAGCAGTTCTAGTTCTTCTCAGGAGGATGACAAGGGTAAAACATCGGGTGGTACGCAGACAGGTGATACGCGACGATCAAACTCAATTGATACGAAATCGCTTGAGAAAATGCCAAGTTCTTCTTCTTCGTCTGACGATGATGAAGATATGGGTAATTCATTGTTTAGGCGTACAGATGCGGCCAAGACTGCTGATACTCAAACTTCTGTATCTTCTTCTTCTAAAAGTAATAATAATGTTGGTAATTCTTCCGAGGTGAGACAATTCACACCAGCAAGACAACTAAAGTTGAAAAAGACTCAACCTGCGGAGAAAACAGCCGAAACATCAACAACAACTGATGGGAATGTTGAGGAACCAAAGTATAAAATGCGAATTAAATGTTTTGTTACTCCTCCTTGCGATTCTGAAGCAGGTACATCAAGTAGTACAACTACTCAACCCGTTTCTCAGTCTGCACCTGAATCAAGCTCGGTGAATACATCTACGACTGCGTCGGCGCCCGCTCCTGCTCCTGCACGTAAAGACGACATTAATCATTTGATTAACAATGCGAAAATGATGTTGGCGCAGTTTCGGAAAACTCTGCAACAACAAGGATTGCAGGTGCGCGGTGTTGATCTTCCTGACTTACCAACGCCATCATCATCCATGACTCAGCCTGGACCTTCAAATAAACCATCAAAGGGGACCAATACCAACGAACTGGAACCTCCACCGAAGCGGAAACGACGCCTATTGAGACCCAATCTTCTCGGTAACATTTTGTTTACTTCATCAGATGATAGCAGTTCGGATGAATTAACTGAAACTCCTGTGATTTCTCTTCCGCCTGTACCTCCTCCACCACCACCTCCGCCTCCCTTACCTCCTTTATCACCACTTCCTCCTCTTTCACCTCTTCCTTTACCTTCTCTTTGCCTTATACCTCCAACAACAACAGAACATTCCTATGCGACGAGAAAAAGACGTTTCCCGGCGTATACGGAGCGTTCTAATACCTTTAATTCGGTGGACGATTCAAGCTCATCTACATCACCATTATCATTAAGGAATGATGACAATGAAGGCCCTTCAACCCGTAAGAGACGTTTATTATCACGAACTGAACTTGACACTGGAGAAGTTGTACCTGTGGAACCTACAACAACCACAACTTCAGTGACAACTCCTTCTACTTCTACAACCACAACAACGGCAACCAGTACATCTGGCTCGCAGGCTTCGACCTGGATGGATCGCCATATGCAGCGTCTAGTAGTCGAGTCTTTGTCGGTATTAGATGAACCATCAACTTCAGAAAACGCGAGCGTTTCTAGTAATACATCAACAACTGCACTTGCAGGCGATAATCAAGACGATCGCGAGTCTGCATGTGGTTCATGCGGTGGGCAAATGGAAGGTACTGGAGAGGGATGTGCTCGTACAGCAACAGTTTGCAGTCGTCTTCATCCTTCGAGAACAGACCCGAATGCCAATTCCAACTCAAACTCGGCTACAGTGCCGCCAACAACTCCTCCTTTAGATAGAGCACGACGTCGGTTCTTATCACATCGTTTGTCCGCGTTCTATCCTACTAGATTATTGAGTAGAATGTTGAGAGATCGTTCTGGAGGTCCATCTTTATCCTCCCGACGAGAGAGTCTCAGGCGGATGAATTTCGCACAGGATGAAGTTATAAACTTTTCGGAACGTGATGGTGAAGAAGCTCCAGCAACTGGTTCCACATCCACGCGAAGTTATCATCCGTTTGATCCACCACCAGAGATGATGTCGATTAATCCAGAGAACATTGGTATTGGTAGTATGTATTCAAACATTGTTCAGGAACTAGAATCTAGTTTGAATGATGTGAGGAATATTCGCTTCCGACTTGGCGAGATGTCTGATATGCTTAGCAATTTCTCTGATCGTTTGGAGAATATCATGACTCAGTCAAACACGATATTGAGAAATTTGAGTAGTTCTCTTGAGGATCTACCTGCGAATGATCCTGAAGCGCCTGCACAACCATCTCAACCCAACCAAAGACCAGCGCAGAGTCCCGCGGACGCTTCATCATATTCACTTAGTCTTGAGGATCTAATGCAATCGTGGATTCGCACGTATAGAAATCCATACGCGCCAAACAACTCGAATAATCCTGTAAACTCAGATCATACTTATCCGATTAACCCGGAAGCGACTCAAAATGCGACGCTTTCTCCCTTACATCTCTCACTGCAACTTACAGTGATTCACATTCAGCGACAAGCTAGATTATTGCGGCAACAAGTCGAAAGTATTGAGCGTATTGATAGAGCTATGATTGAAGTTGCACAATTGCAGATGATGCGTCAAATGTTTGATGAATTGCATGTGCACTTCGGGGCGAATTCTGCATCTACTGAAAATCGCAGCGGGGTATCAAGTGTGAGGGAGATGATGGCTGGTACAAGAATCAGCGATTACAGCCCGTACGATTCTCCTAGTGATGATGGAAACAACAATACTTCTAATAACAACGCTAATAATACCAATGATAATGCTACAAGCGTAAATATTGAATCTCAACCATCGACGAGCGGCTCCACAACAGCAACCGCTGGCACTTCTGAACCAGCTAGTAATTCAACATCAACACAAAATACTCAATCGAATCGCGCGCGTTCCCGGAAGAATTACCCGCGGTGTTTATTTCTCATGCATAGGCAATATCGCCGAACGGGTAACAGTGCCCTGAGCGCACGCAGAAACGCAGCTAAAGACCGTGTTCTTCTTAGAAGAAATATCTATCGACGATTTTTACCGTCGAGGACCACAAACAGAGCCACTATTGATTTGTCGACGCATCGAGGACGAGGATCTTTGAATTTATTCAATCCGGATACTTTACCGTCAATGACACGTAGAGTTGAGCATTATTTGATGGAACATTGTCGTTATATAGGAAGATCTGTCATTCCACCTACGTCTGGAAGTGGTACACGAAGTGATATGGGCGAGCATGTGATGACTTTGCGATTGAACAACTGCCGAATGCGCATGAATCATTTAATGGGTAACTTTCAACTGGAGAATAACGTGACAAGTGTTACCGCGGATGGTACATCACGGTTTGCAGCCAGACAAGCTCTAAGTTACACTTTGGATATTCTGACGAGATTTATCGAAGTCAATCCGAATGTCAACATTGCTTCCTCGACGTTTCGCTCGCAGATTTGGGAAGTGATTGAATTATCACTGCTTTTATCCGAGTTGTTGCTCCTGCAGATTGTTGACTCTATTCCTCCGCCAAGCGGAATGAATTTGGACCCGGAGGGAGAATCTCTCAATGCGTATTGATCAAATGTGTACCAGGATGATCCAAAGTCGATTGATGGGTCAGTCGAGTCAACTTACGAGGAGTTTGCGTTTGATGAGATTAACTGTTCGACATGCCAGTCTTGCTCTGGGCCAGACTTATACTCAAAGGAGGAATGCTATGTTGCCTACCAACAATGACAACGACCGGGGTGATAGTCGGCAAGGTCTGCTTGATGATATTCACAATTGTCTTAGAAACATTCGCCGTTATAGGGAATTAACAACCGATAGACCCGATGATGATTCCAACTTTGGTGATTGGTACAGAACTATCAATGACCTGATCAGCAGGTATACTTCCTCGGGGAGCAATGACAATCCTGGGCCTTCTACCTCTTCACAGCGGCAGGAAAGCAACAACACGTCGGTGCTAAATAACGAAACTGGTGAGGAAATTCGCCCGTCTGTGACTGTCGAAGATGCGAACAGCAGCGATGATAATTCGAATAATAATGATCTTATGATGACCATGCGTCCGACTAGCATTGGATTCTATTCATTCAGTCGGTCGCAGGATAATGATGAAGAGGAGGAGCGTACTTGGAGAAGTCCGAATTTTCTTACGGTGCCAACAGTGCAGGTGAATGATGTTCCTGTACCAGATACACCGTTTTCTACACTTGTTCGCAATCATCGGCAGAGGTTGAGATTGTCGGAGCGTTTGGACGAACTGAGGACTGTGGGTCTTTTGAGGCCTAGGTTTTTGCATCCACTTTACAGTGGCGTTGTTAATCCGTTTGCTTTCGAGGATAATTTGGACGAGGCTCATCGTGAGCCGATTTATGATAGTGATGTGATCCCTACGGTTACACCGAATCATCGGATTCAGGTGTGGGAGTTTTCTCAGGCGAAAATTCCAAATATTAGTAATTGTAAGTTGGGTTATGATTAAAATCATCGCTATTGTTATTTTAATGTATTTTTTATTGTAGCGCAAAAGAATCTGGTTGTTAACGAATGTAAAATCCACAATGACGCGAGCGTTGATTACGCGTCGGATGGCAGTATTTTGGTAACTCTTTTACCGTCTGGAGGCTACATGAATGTTACAAACAGATTAGGTACGTTCTCAATTAACTAATAGTGTAAAAATACAATTTATTGATGACTCATGGAATTCTTACAGGTGTTTACAGCCTGGAATGGCAAACGCTGGGCCAATGCCTCTACGTAACCAGTTTCGAACAAAACGCGGTGTCCGTTTCGCTCTCGCCGACAAACCGCCATTTACTTGTCGGTTTAGCCTCACGGCGCGTCTCCATCTTGCCCACGGAGACGTGGACGATGGCGCGTATATTCCTACTTGACTATCGCAATACGACACACGGCAATCTGGCGTCGATTCGCGAACTCGAACAAAATCGTGATTCAAATTTCATGAGCCTGAATTGCATTCGATGGTTGCCCACCGCCGGGCAGGGGCTCATCTTTGGTACCAATACCGGACACCTTAGATTATTAACATAAGTTTTAACAATTGAGTAATATATATATACAATATGGGTACATATGTATTGCTGTTTCAAGCGGTTCGTGAAACGAGAGTTCGTTCGTAGGCGTCAGTTATGAGACTGATTAACCGAGTTCTTTAAGACGTGCGCGAAACGAGCGTTTTGAAGCATTTTACAAGGGCACACAATAGTGATTTGTTCTGATTCATTAATTTTAGCTCTTTCAATTGTTTGACGATACCAAGTTATTGATTTAGGTATTTATGAATAATATTTGATGATTTCTACCGTCAATTTCTTAAGTACTTGATCTCGGATGCAATGTTTATTTTGTTTTTCGGCCCAAAGTGTAGAATTTAAAATGTTTTTTTTATATCATTGGCTTTAAACCAGTTGAGAGTGCTCTTTAATATAAATTTGTGAAACAATCTATATATATACAAAACAAAGTCGGTTGTGTTATGATATTTATAACTGAAGTATCGGAAAATTCAATAAGAATTTGGAGAACAGAATTTTCCCGTGTGTACATATCCCCTAAGCGTACTCTGAACCTAAGACCCTAAGAAAGAAGAGGTCCAGGTCCTTTTCTCAGCTCTACTCGCTTTGGGTCCTTCGAATTCAAGTATACTTAATTAAAACCTGTTTAAATTGAATGGATGGTTGCCTAAATAATGAAAAACAATTTTGTCTTGCTAATATTATGAACTTTGCAAGAATACCATGCCGAAATTAAGTACAGAACATATTTTCTTTTAAAATAACGAGTACAATGGGAATGGTTTCAAAAATCACCCCGACTTAGGTTTGCTAGGGCTATTTCATATTTTCAATGACAATTAGCGCCCCCTAGCCAACGGCTTTGCAGTGTTGCATGAAACGCGCGCGCCATTGCAAACACGCATTCCGGCATCACACATTCGAATCGGCCGTCGGTTGGTGCAGTACCTCAAACGAGAAATCATCAAGTAGCGAAGGTAGAAAAACAAAAATATTTAGAAATTCGCTTGTGAATTGTTAAATTTGATTGTGCATGCCCTGAATGCTTCTCAACGTGATAATTTGGTCATTGTTTTCAATCTCTTTTGCGTATTGTATTGTTGTATTGTCCGCGATCGCCATTTCGCCATCGATTACAAACCTGTGCTAACCCTTTGCACGCACAATTTGCAGAAAGTAAAATGGGCAACAAGAAAGAAGACTCTGAATCCGAGGAAGAGTTCTCCGTCGAGAAGGTAATCGACAAGCGAATGAAGAACGGCGTGAAGGAGTATCTTCTCAAATGGAAGAACTACAGTGATGAGGACAATACATGGGAGCCAGAAGCTAACCTAGATTGTCCGGAACTGATTGCCGCCTTCGAAAAATCATACAAAGAGAACAAAGAAAAAAAGGCTAATAGTAAGAAAAAGTCTCGCGTCCGCTCCCCATCGCCCGAATCTGACGCCAGTGGCGAAAGCAAGAAATCTCAAAAGAAAAAGCGTATATTGTCACCATCGCCGGATGATTCAGATGCTAGCACTGAAGCCAAAGCGCCTGAAAAAAGCAAAGCATCACCATCTCCTGAAAAGAAAAAAGATAAAAAGTCGAAGGCGCGCAGTCCCTCACCCACACCCGAAGTTGAAGAAGAGACAAGTGATCATGCAGCTTCAGATGATGAGAAGAAGACTGATAAGAAACGACGATCTGGACCAGCAAACGCTGACAAAAAATCAAAATCCAAGAAGAAGAAGTCTGAAGATGAAGAGAAAGACAACGAAAAAGAAAAATCCGAGAAGAAGAAACCAGGTCCAAAAAAATCCTTAGAAAAGAATGGTTTTGATAAAGGGTATGAAGCTGAGAAGATAATTGGTGCATCAGACACCACTGGGGAGTTGTTGTTCCTCATGAAATGGAAGGGTATTGATGAGGCTGACTTGGTCCCAGCCAAGAAAGCCAATGTTATCTGCCCACAAGTGGTTATAAGCTTTTATGAACAAAGACTTGCCTGGCATACGACCGACGATGACTAGACGCAAGTATTATTCGATTATCTTTTTTATCTCCTGGGTTGTACGTCCCCAATGTTTCTCGAAGTATGATCTTGTAATTTCAAAAATTTGATTTAATTAGAACTTTTATTACTTATTCGTAATCCAAATCTGGGAAATTTCAATAAAGTATTTTAATTTTTACAAATACAATGTTTCGCTTGGGACAGAAAATTGTAAATTAAGTGGAATCATGCATAATTTAATCTGAATTGTCATCAGAAGCGTCTGGTTTCTCTCTAACACTGAGCACAAATGATGGCAGACGTCCAGAAGGACATGAAGTGATTGTCACTTCATACTTGGAATTGTCCATCACAGGCGGCTTGTCTGTTATTATCTGCTGCGTTACCTCCAAACTTTCGTAGCGCACTGTTTGCAACCGGTAGAAACCATCCGCTTCCTGCTTGTATCTGAAGCGGGAGTGTCCCGACGGCCAAGTGAAGTCGTGTATCTTTATCAGGTGCGTGGTTAGTTTACCTCCACGTGGGAAACGTTTCTGGCAGCAGTGGCATTCGTACAGCAGAGCGGGTTCCTGCAATATTTTGTGTAATTTTACTTGTTTTTTGAGTTTTTGATCATACGAACCGTTACATGTTCTCGTTCAAGATGATTTTCTAAACCCAGAACAGATCTGCATCGAAAGTTGCAAAATTCGCACGCGTACATGCTTTCCGGGCAATGTGTAAGCAAATGTGAGTCGAGATTAGACTTTGTCACTGCGCTGTAATGATTATTTTAATTATTATTTAGTAAAATGAAAGTATTTTAGAAAATAGTTACCCAAACTCGCAGAGGTGGCACTTAAAAGGTCTTTCCGTCATGTGTCGGAAGCGTACATGTACAGCGAGCATAGAAGGACGTGAACAAGTCATATCACACATGTTGCATTTATAATGATTGATGTGCGACCTCATGTGATCTCGTAGCAGTCGTTCAGTTGAGAATAGTTTAGAACATTCGGAACATTGATAGCTGTGTACTAAAAGAAAATACATCAAAAACCTAGCTTTGCAGAGTTAAAACTTAAACTTACATTCCGAAGGAATTTGTCTTCTTCGGTGATCAGCAAATCTCGTCTTTGATGAGTACAAATTCCCACAAATTGGGCAAGCAATCACCTTCTCAGTAGTGTGACTCCTCAAATGGTCTATTAACTTATAGAGAGAAGTAAATTTTAAACTACAACCTGTTGATGCAATTTTAATATTTATATCAAGAATATTAATATCATTCATGAGCATACCTAGCCATTCACACTTGTTAAAATCACCCTTCCTGCAATATTTCTGTTTGTTCTTGGTATGGTCTCTCACATGGCAAAGAAACTCATTGATGTTATCAAATGTTTGATTGCATCTGTGCCATCTGCACTCATTTGCTGCTATCTCACCTACTTGGTAACGGTCTAAAATAATACATTTGGGCAGTCTTTGTCTTTCAACTACATTGATACCAATGTTTTTAATTCTTTCATGGTAGGAATGAAAGGCAACATGACGAACAAATGCAGCTTGTGTTTTGGTGATGTAATCACATGAAGCAAACTGGCACATGTAAAGATCTGCAATATTTATCAGAAAGTCTAAATAATATTCTTTGAGGAGATTAGATTGTGACTCACCATCAATACTTTCTGCTTCTGCAGAGTGTTCATCTACATGATTAATATAATTTACACTATCATGGAAGAGTTTGCCACATTGATCCCAAGTGCAAATGATGTGTGTTGGTTCTTCTGTAGTTCTAACACCTTTAGCTCTTTTTGGTTTGCCTTTCTACAAATGCACAGATAATACATTAAAACTTATTATAAAGATATAAATAATTAAACACAACTTACTGAAATACCCAATTGAATATTTTCTTCGTAATCATCATCAATCACTAGATTACATTCAGATGGAGTGTCTGGGCACTTAGTGCTCAATCTATGAGTGGATACTGCTCTAGCATCACCCATTTTGTCAGATAAATAAATTTATAAAATAAGTAAGACTGTGAAGAACAGTTCTGTAGTTTGGTTTGGTTTAGCTGCAGTTGCAGTACATAGTTAGGTTAACAACGGAAAATCTATGGCGCGCTTATCAAAACTGACAGCTGCTTGAACTATAATAATTATGAGGAGTAAAAAGGTTAAAAAAAACAACAATTAATATCATGAAAGTTATATTTTATCATCTCCATCAGAATTACAATCATCATCTTCATCAATATCATCAACATCACTCCCAAAATCGCTACCAAAATCATCATCATCATCACAACCAGCTTCTAGTTTAAGTTTATTTAACTTCTCCATTAAATCATCTTTCTGCTCTTCTTTAGGCTGTGGATTCTCACTTGTAGCTTCTTGTTTTTATTCATATATCTAATAAAAGTTCGTCTTTTACGCTCGGGTAAAGATTGCAACATTGCTCTCATCTCTGCGTCGAGTTTCAATTGTTCCTGTTGATCAGGAGCAGCTGGAATAATCTCTTTGGACTCCAGACATTTCGCGCAAACTTTGAACTTCTTCACGCATTCTGTGCAGATCACATGATAAGCTTTCTTGATGGTTTTCTGCGCACATTTCGTGCATGATTTCGGCTGGCTAAGCGGCTTATACTTTTTGTATTTGATTTTCCAATCGATGATGTCTTTACATCTTGCGCAAACATCCCCGACTTGAATGCTGTTGATCATCTTGATTTTGTTGCTCTTATCGTGGAGATCATTCTTGAATGCATGGCGATTCTTGTGTTTCTGTGGACGATTTCTTGAAACATTTCCACGTTGAGAACTCATGATGAGAAATATATCTGAAAATAGAAATTAAATCAACTTTAAAATACAATAAAAACAATTTTAAAGAATATTAAATTGTACAAGTTGTTTATTTGAACAAAAATTCTTTACATTATTCTACATCTGTGACCAATATACTCTTCATATGCACATCAACAAGTTTAGAGTCCCAGGAACTATTTTCTTTGGTCTGTTTCTCAATCATATCAATAAGTCCCTTGTAAGCTTCAGCAACATGCGTAATTTCACCTTTTGACAGTGGAGTTTCACTCTTAAATCGTTCATTATTAACAATCGAACCGATTGTAGCAGCCAAAGTCTTGTATTTAATAAACTCCACTCTTAAATCATCAGCACTGACGCGATACTTCGTGATTTCATCCCATTGTGGACTCAGTGTGTCCATTTGCATACATGCCATTGTTATCTCAATTTGTTTCGCGATGCAGTGCTGATACTGTTCGCATATTTCTTGTATGCAAGTATGCAGGGTTTTTATAAGATTCCCAAGTGCTTCGCCACTTTGTGCATAGGTTGCTTCAATATCCGCTGTTAATTGCAAATCATCAATGTTGGTAACAAGTGTTTCATTGCATATCTCTTCCGGGGTGTCATCCGGTAGATAATCAAGCATTACATTTGCGGTGGACATTAAAAACGCAGAATGATACAGTATTCGTTTTCGGTTTGTGATTTTATGCACTTTGCTTTTGCAACAAATGTGATTGACATTCTTTGGCAAGATTCTGAGGATATTTCTCCACATTTTAAAGATTTACTAACAAATTTTTATAATAATAACATCAAAATTTCTATTTCTACCAAATGATTGTGATCAAAAAGTGTGGCAGGTGATTTGTCATTCTGATAGAATTTTTACATCAAAATTAACTTCAAAGTTTATTTGTTACAGTTTTCATGAACTAAAAAATTCCAACATGTGACCATAACTAGATAAACTAGATATGTAATGCAATAGTTAATATCGAAATTATTGTGAATTTAGCGCAATATCTAATCTATTGCCATAACACATGTATTCAAGTAGGTTATGTGCGCCTCAGTATGTAGTCAATTATTGTGCAGTTCAGTCGCTAAATCTCAAAATTATCGTTCACCACAATGTCACGAATTGTTAAACTGTATCAATCTGCTCTCAACAAACATCCATTCTATTTCCAAGTGGCACAAACTGGCGTTTTGATGGGAACTGGTGATGTCTTTGCACAAACTTTCGTCGAACGCAAATCATGGAAAGAATACAGCTTTTACAGGACAATGTCATTCGTTACGGTCGGCACATTTCTAGTCGTAAGTACTTTTAAAATGAATATCTTACCTTTATAACTCCTTGAGTTGAAATGCGTAGTGATTGCGAATACAATTTTATCTCGAAAAAGTTAATTTCAAATTATAAGGTTAAACTCGCATGTTTTTCATTGCAATCCGCGAAATATCCGGTAGATGTCGCAAGGGGTATCATTTCACAAAGAATTGAAGCAATTTATTTCAACAGGGACCAGTTTTGACTCGCTGGTACGTTTTCCTGCAAAAGAATTTCGGCGCAGGTAAATACGCCGTGTTTAAAAAGGTCGCCGTTGATCAAGCATGCATGGCACCGTGTTTGATCGCGGGGATCATCACATCACTCGGTTTGGTTCAAACTCGACCAATAAGTGAAATCAAACGACAATTTCGCAATGAATACAAAAATATCCTCATGACCAACTACAAACTGTGGCCGTTTGTTCAACTCGTCAACTTTTACGTTGTGCCTCTGAATTATCAAGTGCTAGTTGTACAGCTTGTTGCCATCGCGTGGAATACTTATCTCTCTTGGAAAATTGATGAGTCTCATGATAAAGAGAATTAAATAATATAAAAGAATTTTATTTAAATATTTTTATGAGGAGTTTTAATGAATAATGAGTAAATACTTGGATTATTTGCTTTGAAGAGTAGGCTTTTCATTTACCATTTATTTTGTACATTTTATGATACATTGAAATATATCATAAATTTTACATGTATCATTAGATAAAACATCTAGTTTAAAAATATATTATACCCTACAAAATATAACTTATAACATGATCATTTCATTAGCTTCTGCTTTTACATCATAATTAGTTATATTTTTGTGTTGCCATGCTGCGTGTTCTTCTCTCAATCATCATTCACTGTTGTTTCCGCTTGTTTTTGATTAAATATTTAGACATATTCATAGTATAACTACTGAGAAAAATACATGGACACACATTGTTGCGCTATAATATATCGTTGCATGGCTTAGATGTTCTAAAATTCAATTTTCAATTTTCAATTCATTTCAAACATGTTTTCTCTCGGTGTGTTTGTATTTTGTGTTTCATGTCTCTTATCATTACGAATATAGTCGTGATATAACTTTCTTGTAATAGTTTTCGCAGCTGCCATTTAGTTATACTAGTAGTGAGGCTCTGGGGAGTTTGGGGAACACGTGGACTTTTTGCGAAGTGGTTGTAAATAGAGAAAAACGATAGAAACCGTTGCGCGCTTGACATTGAATGCTTCACATTTAATTGTATCTTGTTGCGTAATGGGGTTACGTATATCTCTAAAGAGTTTGCTTCACGACTAATTAATTAATACTGCGTAGGCCGTACAAGCTAGAATACTGCCCGCGTCTTAAAAAAAAAACGAAAAATTATTTCAATTTTTTTCTGATTTTAAACAAAGCTTTGCGTTTTTTCAACGAAATAAATCTACGTTGTGACTAGCTGAATAAGTTAATAATAAGTTAAGTAATAAATAAACAGCAGGACGTATTCCGCACTTTATATCACATTCCAAAAAGTAGCCCAAAAGTGGAAAAAACGCATCGGTGTCCTGTTACTGCAGCGCAAAGAATTTGTGGTTTGATCCAACCTCAAACCGAAATCAATGTTGATCATCTATGCATGGCGTACGGGGGAGGTGAGAATTCGCACAACTTAAATTAACTCGGGTATGGAGATAGGTTGGGCGGTGGCGGGTGGGCGGCGGCGACTCGCCTAATTGTCGTCGACGTATTTTTCATCTTCGCATCTCCGCTTGCCGTCAAAGAGCGCGCCGCGCTTTCCAATTTTGCAGAGGAAACCGCGGTTGCGGTTGGCGCCTTCCAGCTCTTTCTTCCTCGACATCTCTAAGAGGAGGCGGTTGCGCAGCACATCCAGCGAGTTGCTGATGGAGAGCGATGGGCCGACGTCGCGTAGACTCAGACCGCCGCGGCCGGCCCTCTTGGTGCGCTCCTCCTGACTCAATTCCATCTAAAATCACAAGCACACGGTACGCTAATTACAAGACGCTCCACCTACGACGTGTAGTTACTTTATCTTTTGTCTACATTAAAGACTACACGGCGTAATTTAATGTAAAATCATTTTAAAAGCGGTTAAATGAGGATTTTTCTTGATTCTTTTATTCTTCAACAATTATTTCTGCTAAACTCGTTAAAAACGAGAAAAATATCACTCTTGTAATCTATATCCCTGAGGATTTATCGATTTTGCTCACCGACTGGGTCTTTATTTCAAATATCTCGATGGCACTTCAATTTGTAAATCGGAGCGGAAATAAAATGTGAAAAAAACCGCAGATAAAACAACTCAACTCACCTGAGTGTCGATGTTATTGGAGTCAATATCAGAAATTGGATAGTAGGACGGGAGCGGCGCGCCGCCCCATTGTCTGTACAGCCGGTACTTCGCCATCAGTCTTGGCAGCATGTAGCCCAGCGCCTCCTGATCCTCCAGATTGTTGTAGCCGAGGCTCTGCGCATTCTGCCGGCCGTAATAATTATCTTCGCTGTTTACTGCAACGATTATCGCCGCGCATACTATGTACACGGGCACACGCATCATACTATCCTGGAATACAAACGGGCAGATAATTAGTTTGATAAGTCTTCACGCACACCGATGGTTTGTTTTAAGCTTGCAAGTAAACTAGAACGTGTTGTTGTGTTTTTTGACGTGAAGAAAATATGAATTATTAATGATCATCCGGTAGTTATTTTTTAATTACTTGAAAACTATCTGTGTTACAGTAGAGATTCTTTCGGGATTATATTTTTAATTAAATTTTACTTTTAATAGAGTATATTTTAAGTTGGTGGGATTATTGCATAAAAAGTTATAAACAATTAAAGTTTGAGTTTTAAAAATTTTATGAATTTGATTAAATTTTGCATGTATTTTATGGTAAAAAAATGTTTTTAATGAAATTTTTGTGCACAGTGATTAAGAATTTAATGCTGAAGGTACTTATGAAGAAATTATTAAAATGGTTTGATTAGTTTTTGAGTTATGAGTGAAAAACTGGAGATATACATTTCGCGCATTCAAAGACATTGTACCATAGTTTAGTTTTTAATTAATTACACAAAAATTATTGATTTTACCACAATAGTTCTTTCAGAAGTAGATTCTGGATTAAATTTTGCATCTATTTGTTCAAACAATTTCTTGATTGCATTGTTTATTAAAAAGTTTTAAACAATTAAAATTAATTTTCTTAAAATTTCAAAAATTTCACAAATTTGTTTATAATTTCGGATTAAAAATAATTATCAACACAATATTAGCACAGGTAGATAAAGAATTTATCAATAAACAAATTTATAAAAAAAATATTCATGTACCTTCATTAGTTTACGTGTAAATCCACTTTTTTTAACACTCAAATTTAAATACTCCTCGCTTCTTATTTAATTTGTTGCTTAACTTGTTGCTTTTGATTTTATGAGGTGATGAAATAATTCGTTCGTTTTATATCACTCGGCAAACGATCATGACAGAATGAAGCAAGCGCACTGGTGGTGGCTGAATAAATTTTCATTATTTTGCCTATCATTGTTTAATTTTTTCAATTTGCGTCAACACATCAATTGCCACTGATCAAATTATCGCTTAATTTAGACCAAATTGCATAAAGTTTTATTAATTACTCAAAAGTAATCAAAAAACAACAGATATTTAACTGGGGAATATTTTGATAAAGTTGCCTATTTATAAACTCGATATTTTTCCGTGCTGATGAACTTCAAACACGTTAATCTATATTTAGTCTCAATCAAATTTCATTCTATGTCGAAATTATGCTCATAATAATATTATTGTTGTTATTTATTAGCTTAATGCAATATCTACATATGCTTGGCGTTTGTGTGTTAAATATTGATTTACAGTAAATGTATATAAAAATGTAAATGCCTTGAATTGTCTTATTTCAAGTTCAACTGTGTGTTAATTGATTCAGATAGCGACGTCGCGTGAGGACGAATGTCAGCAGTGTCATGTGAAATTGAATCATGCGAATGATGAACTTTACTTGCATTATTTGTAAATGTTTGCGTTATTGAACAAATACTAGTTCATTGCAGTCTGCACATGATTTCTACAATTGCCTAGAATCTAGATAAGTTTCACGTGCTCCGCGATGATATGCAATGATATGAATCACATGTGGCGCGATGTGCGATTAATTCATTCATAAATTGGCGAAATTGCTTTAATCAATGAATCGCTTGATTTTGCACTATCTGAAAGGTTATCGTCTTTAAAGTCTTCAAAGTTGAAGAATAATCATTCTTTTATGCGAGTTATTTTAAGCATCAAATCGAATCATTGAGAGAGTTTTGATCTTTGTTTTATATTTCGTCATGTTAATATTATTAGAGCATGTGTTGCTAACGTGCAATGGAGTAATAAATATTTTATGGGTTTTGCAATAAATTGTGCAATATTATGGAATTTTGTAGAATTTGTGGAAATTTTTGGGAGTTATATTTAGAATAAGTAGTTTTTGATATTTGCAAATATTAAGGTTTTCTTTTATTTTATTTGGTTATATATTATTTTATTACGGTTTATGGGTATCAATCGATAGCTTTTGAGACGCACTTTTTAACTATCTATGATTTTTACATTTTTATTAACTTTTTAACTTGTAAATGCTTTTTCATTTTTTCTTTGCATTTTTCAATATTTTTACACTTTATCACCGAATATCTTTACTATAAAAAAATTATAATAATATTTTATATATGCAATTGATAGATATTGACTAAAACTGTCGATTGAAGTTTAAACCAATGTCCTAGCTGGTCGGAGTCAAAAGTTACTGCAAATTGAAGTTTTATGTAACACAATAGAACGTCCTCAAAATTGAGGTTATAGTTAGATTGCCGCACGGGTTGCACCACAGTTCTAACGCATGGGAACAAAGTCCAAACTGAATCATCTTTATGTTATCATCAATTTTTGAGAATATGCTCAACTGCGCGTGGCCCAAAGTCCACTTTTACACATTTAGTAGACAATAATGAATTCTAACTTACGTTTGACATAATTCCTGTTCCTTTTTCGATTTTCAAGTTTATAATTCACTTCACACGATTTTTTAAGACTTTTTTTTATGTTTTTTCTGTATTTCATGCACTCTGCCTACTGATATTCACTTAACCAAACCACAATTATAATAATCTCGTGTTTATATACAAATTTCAGCGAGTAACGCAACACGAAAGACCTCGAAGAATGTTGCTAAATTTCATAAATACACATGTATCGCGGATAAACACGCACCCGACAATAATAAGAAAGACGTTCGGCGACAAACTCGCTAAATGCTAACATCAACACACGACATGCGCGAACGCATAACGATCAGTGATTACTCATTATTAATGTCTTAATTGCGTTATTATCATCGCCGCCGGCTCTAAGAAATTACCAAATTAACGCTAATTTCATGATGTAACAACTTTGCGTGATTGGCTCACACTGTGCTATCAATATTTAAACGGAAACTTTCTATAATTAATATTAATAATATTTATATTTCTGTTTCTGTCTAGTCATTCGTGTCTGCCGCGTGTTAAGTTTATTGCGCAGAAGATCATATTTTGTGTGTTAGCGAACAATGATTACATCCTTCTGTTTTGGGGTTGTGGGCGGTTTGCATCCGTCGAGTGAGTGGACTTCCTGTCAAGTGTGTGCTGCGATGCATAATCAAAGTCAAATCCGCGCCGGTGATGGGAAATAAGGGCTCGAAACTTGTGTCTAGTCTGTAACTTTGTGCGGGGACAAACGGTAACCGAACGAGATCAAAGTTTGGAGCAGTGCGTCGCGACCCGTGTAATGTCCACTTTAATACAGTATTATTAAGCATTTCATGAATAAACAACAAGTATGGAACAAAATTCCCTTTGGGAGGGAATAAAGCTACTCAGTCTGGATGAATACATTAATGTTTATGTTTAACATTTAAAATATCTGAAGGAGATTAGTAGTTATTTCAATATTATTGGAATATTGACAGTCATAATTGCAAAAGTTTGGTTAGGTGGTGATAAAAATAGAAATTTGCAGAGCATCGTAACGCCATCTACAATCGAATTTTGTAACTATGACTGCGAGTTTTATAGTATACAAATTTTTATCGTGTCTTTACTGATTTATTTTGCAAGAAAAAGTATTTTATGTCTTTCTCCAAGGTTTAACCTACCTCCATACCAAAATTTATCAAAATTGGTTGAGTAGTTTAGATGCCAAAGGAAAACAAACATACAAAATTACTTTTACGTTCATAAAATGAGCATTTTTCTAGTTTTTAACTTTAAAATTCAATAATAATACGAGATGTAGTGAGTTATATGCTCTGCAAACTTTTATCTCCTATTTTACGCCTTCAAAAATTTATTTTTTCCACAAGAAGAATCTTATGTTATTGTCCTAGGTTTAATCTAGCTCTAAACAAAAATTAACCCAAATCGCTTCAGTAGTTTAGGCGCCAAACGAAAACAAACAAACAAAAATTACTTTTCCACCCTCATATTTTCAAAATGTTTAGAATTTAAATTTTAAATAATTATCCCGGATGTATAATCTCCTTTCCCGCATTGTCTGAAAATTTTCTGGCTGTAAATAATATTAATTAGCAGCATCCAAACATTTATGTTTATGCCATGTGATTTAAAAAATAATAAGCAGAAATGCGTGTATGCCTGCGTGTGTAATATGTTAATGCCTTTCATTTTGGCGTGCGGAGCGTAAGGTGAAGCATTAACATTAACTGCTTTACATTATCATTTTATTTTCAGTGCGCAATGAAAATTACATTTTGCGCAATGTCGGCGCGTAATCCGACATGAGCGTGCGTTTCTTATTAAAATGTAAATGCTTCGCGTTGCACCAGCGCAGGTTTCACAGGTTTACACCTGTGCGGGCGAGCTCATTGTGTCCTGACACAAACGGATTTGCAACAGATTTTCCATTAGCGACTGAATTTTATTTATATTCATTTCATTTCAATGTTGGAATTTCTGGGTGGAAGTTTTGAATTTTGCTTGTTGAAAAAGTAATAATGAAACACTTTGTGGTTGGTATCGGAATGTTGCCAGTCAATAAGCATCGGAATGAGCATGAAATGTTCGGCGCGCATTTCGGAACGCATGAAGAATGAATTCAATCGGAAACGTGTATTTCAAGCCGTCCATCGAGTTTTGACCCTTCTGTGCGTGCATATGAATGCATCAAAAAGCTTTTGCGGGCTTTGTCGCGTGTGCGGTGCATGTTGCGCAAATATTTGCGAGAATTTCACTTATTTTAGCAATTCGCGTCGTTCCCGTGCGTTGGAATGCTTCAAAGTCCTACTTGTCGTGTTTGTTATACCTACGCACCTTTTCATGTACTCGTATGTTACGTATTGACATTATGTGTATTAAAATGTTTAATTAAACAACATGTGACACGCACAAAGTGAGAAATTGTATTGACTTTGTTGAAATACGGAAAATTTCAATTTTTTGATATTTTGGTTGCGACAGGCTGGAAAATTGAATAAGAATGGAAAGATTATAAAAACT